AAACGTTTAATTATATAACTTGTTTTGTTTTTATTTTTCATTTAATTTAATTAAAATTTCTATAAAATATTTTTCTTCTTCCAGATAATGACATAGTGAAACATTGATGTTTCTTTCATCATTTCACAAACGTTGTAATGTAATCCTTCATATCCTTAACGGAAAATAAGACAAGTCACTCGCATTCACTTAAAATATATTACTACAATTTTTAGCATGAAATTTGAACAAAATCTCAAAAGCTGCCTGAAAAAACAAAATTTTCTTGTTTTATCATCTCTTAGTTCGTACATACCATGTAAAATTATAATCCAATTATTTTTATCCAAGTTATATAGTTTTGTATATATTAAAAAGCTCAGGGTCTACATATGTACAAACTTAACTACTCAATCTATAACTTCTACACGCTTTTAAAAGTTCTTTATGTAAGAACGTGAGTAGAATGGCTTTCGCCAATACTCGTCTGTTTTCACTAAAGAAAAGTTCTAAATGTTCCAAAAAAAAAATGTTTTTTTGTGAAATAAATGTGATGTGTTGCAACTCTAAGCACCTCCACTTTACAACCACCTGGGGTTATACGAACGCATTATACCGTTTTCGAAACTGCACGCTGTGTTTGGAAAAAGTAGTTTAAAAGAAATACCTTTTTGCATTTGACGGAGAAGAAAAACTTTAACTCTCTGAGTCTCTCCCAGTTAGAATACGGTATCTAATATATCAAAGTGGATGTGCTTTTTGAAATGTCTGTAAAACGTAATTCCTTTTATAGCCTATTGTGAGAAAGAATATCTTTTCCTGAATTTGTATCTACACATCTGTTACAGTTTATTTTGTTAAGACATTGCAAGCTAAAATATATATTTAGGAGAAAGAGACCTTCACTTTTTTTCAAAACTATTGCGTAACTTCAAGTACTTTATTATATAGATTTTAAATTCTAATGACTTTTCTGTAAATGCCGGAATGACAGATAAAATTTCGAAAACTTATATTTTCTCAAAATTAGATGAATGAAAATACCCTGCTGGCCATTAAGGTATCCAACTACGTTCGGAACCGTGATTTTGCAAAAGCGTATAAATGGATAATATTTATGATATTTAGTGTCACTTAGAATAGAAAATGTATGTAAAATTGTTTTAAGAACAGTATTACAATAAAAAAATATTTAAGTACAGTATTTTGACAAAAAATGAACATTGAATAACCCATTTTCAAAATATTCTCCTTTTGTGAAAAATGCTTCTATTATAATAATATTTTGCCTGCATATAGCGCAGACCTCTGTACAGAGGCTCAACAAAAAAATTTTGAGAAATGAAATATATAACTTAGAAGTGGGTTTATCCATGTTTTACGACAACAGAGGGGAGAAATTTTAAGAAAAAAACTTTGATAATTGTTTTAATTGGTTGTAACTCTGAAAATAATGAGAATTTTTTTTAAAAAAAGGGTTCAGACTCTCTGGAGAAGTCTTTACTTTATACAAACAAAATATTTTTATTTTAGAAGCATTTTTTGTAAAAGGAGAACATTTTGAAAAAAGGTTATTCTAAGTTAATTTTTTGCCGAAATGTTGTATTTAAATGATTATTTTTTTGTCAAAATGTGTTCTTAAAACTATTTTATACATGTATTTTAATCTAAGGGACACTAAATATTCTGAACATTATCCATTTATGCACTTTTTTTAAAATCACTGTTCCGAACGTAGTTGGATAATTTTAAAATTGCAACACAAAGAAGGAAAGATCGGATGAATATCGAAATCACATGAAAAGAAGAAGAGTTTGGTATATACAAATGATTAGTATTTCACAGTACATTTAGACTGTGTAGGTGGGAGAAACGATATCTGAAGCATTATGAAGCATTATGCAGGGGATTTCTCATTCGGAAAGGGCTTTGTAAGGTCTGAATTTGCTCTGAATATAGTGTAAATGCCTCGAATAAGAAGAAGAAATACTTATCAGCAAGAGCAGGAAGTCGATAGAGGCAGGATCGATGCCTAACGAGAGTGTGAATAATCGTTCCATGATATTGTTCATCAGACGAAATCTAACCACTGTCAGGCGAATATGAAATTAAAGGGTTGTTGAGGGTCATACTGAAGGACATGCTGGATCTCCCAGCCCCCACCCTCCTATTGAAAAATATTCAAGAAGCCAGAAATATTGTAAAGTCGATCGTGCAAAACCGTACAACCACATCATGGATCAATTGTTAGAAAATGCTCATGTTTACGTTCACTCAGTATCCACTCGTACGGATCGACGACATTTACAGTACCTTGTACTATCAACGCGGGGACCACTACTTCGGTTCTCTTTGCCAATGCAGCATAGAGAGAGAGAGAGAAAATCTGGTGCGCCGAACGACAGAGCTGGATACAGATGTGGCACAATGTCATCTTTTCAGACAAGTCCCGATTCTGTGTGCAGTATTCTGAGGGCGGGAACGTATTTGAAGGCTCAGGGAAGACCACTCATCGCCTACTTGGATTCGGGACCCTACATATGGTATTATGGTTTGGGCAACTAATGGATACATGACTTTCACATCTTTAGTTCGGATCGACGGTAATTTCTACACAAATCGGCACATTTCTGAAATCTCACGTGCAGCGGTTGTGCCCTATCTTCGAGGCCTTCTTAACATCCTCTACCAACAAGATAATGAAGGACCACATGTTGTAAATCGTGTTTCGACTTTCCTCGATACACTATTTTTGTCCTGTCGTGCATGTTCTCCAAAGCTGTCATTTATTGAAAATATATTGTTACGTGGATCCTCCTGTCTTTAAAGTATTGGATTTTTTTTCAATAAATTCTCATCGCTCTTAAAGAACTGTCTTGTTTTTTGCGACTGATTGGCATAAAATCCTCGAACCCCAGATCCACGTAACAATATATTTTCAATAAATGACAGATTTGGAGAACATGCACGACAGGACAAAAATAGTGTATCGAGGATTTTATGCCAATCAGTCGCAAAAAACAAGACAGTTCTTTAAGAGCGATGAGAATTTATTGTAGAAAATCCAATCTAAAGACAGGATTCAGCAGCAATATTCACAAAATAAATTTCAAAAAGTCTTCACACCTCTAACAGCACTCAGACACAATTATCGGTGTTTAAAATACACCTATATAAAAGATTATTCACAAGCAATCACACTTTCAACAGCCGATGTAATCACTAAACGCTTCAACAATCAGTGCAACACTAACTGATCGCTAGTCAAAACCAGACCGACTGACTTCCGGTGACCATCTCTCTATATCCCTCGCGGATAATTCGAGAAAAGACCTGCTTGCGTAATAGATCTTAAAATTAGTGTATTTCTCAACTAATTACTAGAAGAATCAAAGGGGCTCCAAACTCACCAATAATGGTCGTCGAAGTCGCCAAATTGGTCGCCAAAAATGGCGTCTTGGCTCAATCGCTAAGATTTCACCAAGTTCCCATTGAATCACCATTATAACGTAAGGAACGGCGTTTGCTTGTGAATATTACAATTTTAACGTAAATTAAATCCAATTTGGAGTAAGATATATATATAAAGGCATTACATATCGAAATACAAATTTTTTACACTATTTTACACAAAATTCGTAACATTATAGTCATGGAATTGGGGCATCATGGAATGTGTTGCCCATTTCTGTCATCCAAGCCATGTTCGACTCCATGCGTAACAGGGCAAGGGTCGTTTTTCTCTACTAATTTCACACCCCTGTAAACCCCCAAACTGCTTGCAAATTCAATCATTTATTTTCATGACATTCTGTTTACGTACAATATATGTCTTTTTCGTATTTGCTTACCTTCATGATGTTGTAATTTTAATTGCAAGCACAGTGTAACTAAATTCATTTTGAAATTAAAAATTCCATTTTAAATTGCCTTTTTGTGATGCGATGATTATATATTTCTAATCTAGAAAACATCAGAGTTTCTAAGCACAAATACACTGAATTATGCTGTGTTTAAGAACCCATTTGCAAAAAGTAATATTTTGTCAAGAGCACATTGCTGAAATATATTTTATTATGTTCTACTGTTCATGCAATGGGAAAATCCTAATTATGCGAATTGATCTCTCTTATATGTAGAAATCTGTAATGTAATATAGTTTTAGAGCTCCTTCTTCTGAAAACTTCTAAATTTTTGTTTTTCCACAAAACATTTAAGTTGATTTAGTTTTCTTTCATCGATAAAAATATTAGAAAAAGAAAATTCCAGACCAATCTGTGAAAGATGTGATTATATTTTTATCTTTTATAAAAAAAAAGCCATTTTCCTGTTTCACGTATACTACTCCGCATTATTCTAGATGGGATATTTACATTTCTATGACGTTCAACTCATACAATTCTGTCCAACTTCGTAATTACTGCGAAGCACATAATTTTAAGTATATTAAGTGTCGGGGAATATTTTCTGTCGAATCTATATTACTTTATTTTGAAACATCGGAAATCGATTTTCTGACATTTTCTATTTTTTATACTAAACGAGTTCAATAACAACTTTTTTTTTCCAAATTTATGATAAAAGTAATTAAGGAAATTTTTGAAAAATATCTAATTATTATACCCCATGCGTGTATGACAGAATTACAATAACATTGATAAAACGTATTTTTAATTCAATCTTAAAGACATCTATCAAAAGATACGCAGTATTCTATTCAGAAACAAGTAATACAAAAAAGAAAATGAAGTCAATTCCTACGTAGGCGAACAAAGAAAAATTTTATTTTAGTTTTTTTTTTATTAAATAGTTACAATTAATATAAATATGTACATACATATGACAGAATCACAATGTTAAGTGATAAAATAGAAAGTGATTTTCCTTGCAATTTTCCATTTTCCTTTCTATATATGTTGTTAAGCTTTTTTTTTTGTTTATTACTATTTATTCATTAATCAAATTTAATTATTCTGATAAAAAGTATAGTAAAAAAGAAATCATATTCTCAGAAAATAGGCCAGCCCAGGTGGGATTCAAACCCACGATTTTTGGATTAGAAGTCCAGCACGCTATTCATTGCGCTGTAAGGACACAGCTAACAATTTTCCTTTTTCCCAATATATGCTGCTGGACTACTATTCTTGTTTGTTACTATTTATTCATTTTTTGCTTAATTAATGAATTAATATTTGAAAAAACTGTATTAACATCAATTGTCATCCAATACAAGTTTAAAAAATATGTTTGAATTTGAATGCATGAATCAAAAGTATTTTATTAACGATGGAAGTTTTGAACAAGATATATATATAGGGAGAGAGTGAACTAATAGAAGGAATTGAAGAAAGGAGAAAAAGAATAATTACATAATGTGAATATTGAACATCAGTGTTTGCAAGAAATATGGTTTCAAGGTTTTCTTATACTGAAAGATCCCGAAATCTTGTTTTTCTAAAGTCAGAAAAATTATTGATAAGTTTTTTTTTTTTTTCATTTTTCTCTATTGAATGCTATAATTAAGGTCCCCACTTAACATAATATAAGTGTGCATATACTCTCCGTGGTTTTTTTTCTTCTTTTTCTTGTTACATTCCGTCAGTAAAATCTTTATATTTATTATAAAACGAATAAAAACAGTCTGCGATTTTATACAAAAAAAAATAAAACAATCTCCCCCAGTTGATGGTTTCAGCGGTTAAAATTTATTCCTTAGACTAAAACTGAACATTTGATTTTAAAAAGCCTTTTAACCCTAATTAGCCAATTGTGTTCAAATAACGTATCCAGGATCCGTAACAGTTAATTGGCCATTCGAGACTACACATATTTGAGTTAAAGTTGGAATCGGAATCCACCAATATTCTATTTTTGGAAATTTTCAAAGATAGAAGGCACTGGATATATATTTCGAGCGAAAGGATTTAATTTGAGACAGGAGGAAAGAATGAATGCCAATATGAGCTCCTCTAGGATTTGTTACTTTATAATATGAACTAATAATTATTGGGTTACCCGAGTATCTATAAGTTATACAAGTAACTGGCAACACTGTTTATTTTTTTTCCTTATTCTTATAAGTGATGTTTAACGCATTTGTGTCTCTAAATAAATATTACTTTCAATTTGAAAGAAACAATTTTTTAAAACTCTATATATTAAAGGTTTACAAGAAAAGTAAGAAATAACTAAAAAAACATAGTAATTTGTGAGATAAAATAATGCAAAACTCTATTGTCTTTAATTTGCAACAATTTTAAATGTATATCATATGTTTTATTTACAAAAAGGAATTAAAGAAAATTGTTAATTAGAGTATATTTTCTGATATTTTTTTTACCCTCTTGTCATTTATTTAAAAAATTTAAAAATATACTCTAATGCTTAGCTTTATGTACTTTGTATATTTCTTTCTCTTTTGATAAATAACATTCCATGAATTAAATGACATTTTCTAATAACCAGAATATAATTATTAAGAAATTTTGTAATACGTGATTTAAAGTAGGCAAAATACCCGGAACTTAAAGTAACATCAACACTAGCGTTACGAATTAAAGATTTTTCTTAGCTTCCTTCCTTATTTTGAATATCACATTTGTTGATTCAATATTATTGTAACACAGATTTCTAAAAGTAAAATCTTCAAAATTAATTATGATTATAGACTTATATGACAAATCTCTTTCAAGCAGATATTATTTTGAGCTGATATATCAATTAGAGTTAATTGATTCGGGTACACAATTAAGAAAATTTGCCCATTTTGATGAATTTCTGAAAATCTAATGGACATATTTCAATGAAACTTGATATCAATATACATTTATGATAGAGAAAGAGAAGTACCATTTAAAAATTTCATTTTATGTAAACATTATTATAATTAAGGGGTGTCTAATATCTACATTGTGATAACGAGCTGAAAATCAGTCTAATATAGAGTATTGCCTCGTATTACAACCCCACAGGTCGCTAAACAGGGAGCAGTTCAGAATCCCTTTGTCAATTGATCCCACACCTGCAACAAGGTAGTTCTTAAATTCGAGATGATTATTGGAGAAGGATACAGTTGCACTCCTATAAGAACATTATACATGCTTTGCAGGGTCAAGATATTAGGCTAGTCATTCCATGCTGTGAATATCCGCACTGTCCAAATAATCATTGTCCAGCTGAGTTCTATATGGACAAGCGTTGTTTCTTATTAACAGAAACTCAGGACCTAAGGCACTCCTAAAAATTCAAACACAGGCTCAAAGATCTCCTATCTCTTAACAAATGGGAAGCCTTTGTCAAACACTTATAAAGTTGAGCTATCATCTAACATGATGCCCGGTTGAAGAATTATACCTCCACTAACAAAGTGATCGCGGTTTCTTTTATGAGGAAGCTATGATATTATGTTCAGGTGCTCTTCAGGTGCAAGTATATCTGGAATAGTGTCCAGGCTGAGTCTCGATTAATCTGTATAAAGCATGGTGCTCCACTGGAATCTGCTTCAAGGCACATGTTGTTTGTAGCATGTTAACATGCTCGATTGTGGGCTTCATTGAGAGTGACACAAAAAACGGGTGTTTTGGAAAACAACCCTTCTTTATGCAGCCTTTGGTTGATTGCAAATCATGAAACTTGATTTTTTTTTCAGTCAGGAGTTCTGTAACTATATAACTCACGAGAGGGCTGGGAAACTATAGCAATTTTGTGTCAAATTGATACAAGCATATGGGTATCAATTGCAAACAAGGTATATGCATTCTCCTTGGTGTCTTCAGACACGGATGCATCCATCCTAATGCTGCCCTCCCCAGCACCAAACTTTCTCGTTACTTGTCAAACTTGCAACCCACTTCTGCACCAAACTTTGTCGTTACTTGTCGAACATGCAACCCACTTCTGTACTAAAATTTGTAGTTACTTGTAAAACTTGCAACACACTTCTGCACCAAACTTTGTCATTAACAGCACCACGCCGCGTGTATCTATGTTGCACTGTCAAAAGAAGTCTCAATAGTAGTCTCCATGTAGACAGTCTGGGCTACTCCAGGAGTCATCGCACTGCTCGGGTGGATACTCATTATCCTGTAAATAAGCTCTTTTCCTAACTCAAAATCTGAAATGTGGCTGTACGATGATCTTTCTGGGAGACCTCTCTTTTCTCTCGGAAGTCGTTAAGATCCAGCATGGCATTCGTGTGATCCTCCTGAACTCATCGATTTCATATTCACACGACATTCGTTGGATTCTGAGAAATACGAGTAGAAATATTGTAGAAAGATAAACCACATTCCTAACAAGCTGTATCCTAATCTTGGATTTCGACACGTGCTGCTTGTAATTACTCCTTTTTCGGGGTAAAATACAATCTTCTCACAAGCAACTAACATTCAAATGATATTCCCGAATGAGGTGCCTTCTGCGTTATTTTCTTTTAAAGCAGAGTTTGAGATGTCGTTTCTCTCATACACTTAAACACTAATAATTTGCATGTATATCATAACATCTTCCTTCCATGCGAATTTTAGGTTTGCATCATCTCTCTTTGTGATGTCCAATATTAATAACCAGTAGTGTAGAGTATTCAGTTTTCCTATTTTCATGTTGTAAATGTTTTGGATTATATTGTACCTTAACAGAAACATCGATCGCATCACTTCTAAGTCTCTCATCATTTCATCTCGAAAATAAAATCAATCCTACATTTCTAAAATGTTAAAGTAAATACAAAACTGTTCTTCAAAACATAAAAAAAAATCGTTTTTATATATATATACTGTTTAGTTCACAAAAAGTATAAAAATAGTTATAGCAACCATTATTAAAAACAAGTAACATTTTTGTGTTTACTATATATGAAGCTGTCTTACTAAAAGAATATTTATTCCGTGAATAACGTATTAGATGAAAGAGAGCACAAAAGTCATTTTTGTATTTTTAATAATACATAAACAATAAAAAAAATGCAACTTCGTGCATTAAATCAAATTTTACAAAAAAAATAATAAATGTTTAAGCAGATAAATATTATATTACAATCTCTTGTAATGAGCAACAAAAGTTATTTGAAATTTAGACTCAGTTAAAATTATAAATAACAATACGAAAGAAAGGTAGAGCACAACAGCAAAAATAGACTTTAAACAAGTATATAGTTTGAGAAAATAAACTATATTCGATGAGAAATATGTGAAAAAAAAAAAAATTTGTGTCTTTTTTTTTTTACTTTTAATAATTGAGAAATCCGATCCTTCATACGAGAGAGAGTTATTTTCTTTCTATTAAAAAGCCTCTCATCATAATATAACGACATAAAAAACTAAGTATTTCAATTCAAATTATTTAAATTGAAAGACAATAAATTGTTTCATGATGTAACGTATTTTTTTTCTTTCTGCATTAAATTAAAATGGAGTCTTATTAAATATTTATTTCAGTTTTGTAATATATTTGGATGCTGTATAAGCAATTTCCTTCTGACTTCGCTTAATTTTGCGTCTGTTAGGGAAATTTGTTATCTAGATACATTTTAAGGATATAATTAAGGAAAATTTTATCGGTTGTAAATTCCGATAAAAAATTTACAACCGATATACTTTTTACAGAGATATTTATTTTTAAAATATGAATTTTAGTTCACATTATTTATTATTTTATTATTTTTTTTATTATTTTTGGTATGAAATGTAGAATGCATTGTGTAAAATAAGATTTTCAATTTATTCAATTTATTTGGTCCTCAAACATTTAATTCTTATTTCGATAGCAACCAAAAAATGCATTTCTTTAAAATTAATCCTGTCCATAATCTCATAGGTGATCTAAAATTTCAAGAATACATTCCTTTTTTTATACTGAATAGAATTTTCCCAATTAATGAATTGAATGATAAATTATTATTTTTATTGCCAGTTAATATTTATGATTTAACTTAAAAATAAACATGGCTTTTTTAAAAATGTATTACTATTAATCTTAAGATTAAATTTAGATTTGCATGTCTTATTATTTAACTTAAGATTAACTATAGTTTTTAAATATCCATAAAAAAAATTTCAAAGGCATCGCATATGTATAGTTTATACTAGTTT